CTAAAGCCCGGAGGAAAGGGGTAGACCTCGGCTTGGCGTCAATCATCCTATGACGCTCCAACAGCTGCTCAATATACCTATGCTGCGACAACACTATCTCACCCGACTTCTCCCTCCTAATTTCCATGCCCAAAAACACCTTTGCTTCTCCAAGGTCGCGCACCTTGAAGACCTTTGCAATTGCGGCTTTAATTGCCCGGACCATTTCCGGGTCTTCCGACGCAACAATTGTATCATCTACGTGCACCAAAGCAATAACAACCCCACGCTCGTCCGTCTTAACAAACATCGCCGGATCAGACTTCGAAGGATAAAGACCCAGCTTGGCGAACTCTGCTGATAGTTTCTCATACCAGCAACGGGGTGCCTGCTAATAATCAATCCCTTCACGTTGCTCGAAACCCTTCGCAACCAATCGCGCCTTAAAACGCTCCACGCTGCCGTCATCGCTGTACTTAACCTTATATACCAAACGACACGGCAACAAACGAGTACCAGGAGGTGGCTTCTTCAGCTCCCAAGTACTATTAGCCATCTGGGCGGCGATCTCCTCGTCCATCGCACGCCGCCAGTCGTCTGCATGTGGACTTGCAATGGCTTCCGCAAACGAATTAGGCTCAGGAATACCAGCAGAGAAAGCAGCGTTAACGCGACCAGTGACAGTGCGACCAGGTTCATTTCGCCACCATTCGACAGGGCGTTTACGCTCTCTAACTGGGTACCTAGTTCCCGCCATTTCCACATCAGGCTGATTGATTCCTTGCCCGTTCGCACTGCTGGAAGGTCCAGCCCCAGCCGGCGCCCCCTCGCCACCCAAATGCGGCGATCCCTCGCCGACGGTGCTACCTGGTGTCCCTTCGCCAGCCCTAGGCAGCGATCCCTCACCAGATAAACTAGTGCGAAACTCCTCCTCCTCGTCGGCATCGGACTCATAATCGGAGTCCCCGGCATTACACCGCCGGCCGACATTAGATTCATCGAAACGAACGTTAGAAACTACGGCAATAATGCCGTCCTCGTATAGTACACGATACTGTCCACCGTTCCCGTATCCGACAAGTATTCCACGCCTGCTCACCGGGTCGAACTTGTCGCGCTTGACGTCGGGTACGTGGACGTAGGCAACGCATCCAAAGACTCGCAGGTGACTGATGTTCGGACGAACGTTAAGAAAGCTTCGTACGAGTGACGGTTGACCCAGCAGTTGGCGACACATTCCTAGATAGNTGGCTGTCGCTAACGCCTCCGCCAATAATGTTTAGGCAGGCCAGACTCAACTAGCATAGCCCTAGTCTTGTCCAAAAGAGTGCGATTTAAACGTTCTGCAGCTCCGTTCTGCTCAGGGGTGTAGCCTACCGTAGTTCCGTGTACAATACCCCTGGAAGCGAAATAAGCCTTCGTGCGAGTATTAACGAACTCCCCACCACGATCTGTACGCACCTCCTTAACCTGCCTGCCAGTAGCGCGCCTGCCAGTTCCGCTATCATTACCACCATCTTCTGGTAGACCTCCTCCTTGGTCGCTGTAAACGCAACAGCTGAAAGACCAGTATGGTCGTCAAGTAGGGTTGTCACGTAACGCGAACCACTAGGCGAAGGTTCAGGCATAGGCCCACACACATCCATGTGAATGAGCGCGAGAGGCTGCGCTGCCTTATGCCCAGATAACGGAAAAGGACCACGTGTATGTTTAGCAAGGACGCAAGTCTCACACACACACGTGCTGGCTGATTGTATGCTGTGTCGGTCAACATCAAATCCAGCTACCATATTATGACGCAGCAACGTCTCAAGGTTGCTGTATCCCAAGTGGCCATACCTTCGGTGCCAAAGTGCTGCACGTTCAGCTCCGATACCCACGGCAGCACACACTGCATCACCACCAGAAGGTATCCTGTTGTCTTCACGCTGCGTCCTCTTCAGAGCTCCCGTACCTCCACTGCTGTAGCAGACGGGATACAAGTCCCCATCTCGCTTTCCAGTCAGCACCAACTGGTTCTGTACGTATACTTTCGCCTGTCCGCCGCCGAAGACCACACTGCCTCCACGATCATCAATGATGCGGACCGATATGATTTTGGCGGTGGCCTCCTCGTCGACGTAGACCTTCTTGAAAGTGATGGCCTGTTTATCGTTGACGTTAGACCGAATCATAAGCGTGCCAACTTCAGTCGGCCGAAGAGACTGTCCCTTGA